AACAGAGACAACATGACCGTCCACAAGATCTGAACAATGCGGAAAGGCCCTGCGGCATTCGCAGTTCACGGAGTCTGGTAAGGTCATGTCAGGAGCAACACTCAATGCCACATCAGTAAAGTTGCAAAATTGGACACGTGTGGGTGGCATCAACTTGTCACATACACGAACATGTGCGGCCGCTTGCGGGTCAGGGTGCAATGCAGCTACTTCTGGCAATTGCAACACATGGCGCAAGTTCGTGGCACAAACTACCTCATGCACATGTACGACCTTAATATGGTTAGTAAACGGGTCACGTGGTATATATATATCAGTTTAGGTCTCTCTCTCTCTCTCTCTCTCTCTCTCTCTCTCTCTCTCTCTCTCTCTCTCTCTCTCTCTCTCTCTCCTTCATTTCTGATCGTCTCACGCCTATTGCACTCTTCCCATTCACCGCGTAGTCTATCTTCCTCTCTTGTGCGTTCTTGCACCTTCTTCAAGTCCTCCGTCTCCTTCTTTAACTCGTCAATTCCCATAGACTGCTTGTCCGATCCCGTCTTGGCTTTTAACTCCTCCAATTCCCTTTTCAATCTTGAGGAAAGTTCCAAATTCCGAGGATCAGACACATCAAGATCGACCGTTTGCCCAGGGCAGATTCCCAGACAACCTTCATATTTTGTCTGACGACTTGCCCAATCTTGCATACAAAGAGTTCCTTCTCCTGCTTCTTCAGAAATACCTTCTCATCCTCCATTTGCTTTTTCTTCTCTTCCTCCATCTTCTCTTGCATCTCCCTTTCCTTCTTGAGCCGTGCCTTCTCCTCGGTCAGCTTTGACAGCAGATTGTACTCACGCTCATGATCTGGCAAATATGAGCCGTTTTGCCAGTAGTTGTTACGGTTGTAGTAACCACCAGCCCGATTATCGTACCCATGGCCACAATTACCAAAGCCACTGCCTCGGTTGTCCTGACTCTGAGGAGGTCGATACGGAACGATGGCATTCGGAGCCGGAAGGATGCCACTTGATGACGATGCCCCATTCCTGGCCTCTGCCGAAGAAGAACCGGAAGACGTGTGAACTCCTGACACAAGATCCGCCACGTTGGGGAATCGGGATGTCACGTAGTTGACACTCCCGCACGAAATGCCCCGACAACTGACAATGATGACACACTCTTGTTCCATACATCGCGGAACAGGACTAACCACGTCCACAAACTAATTGACCAGATCGGCCAAAGCCCTAACAGAGATGATAACAAACGTCTCCCATAACAAAGACAAGAACGAAGGAGGACTATTAGACGAATCAAGAGGAAGGGGTCAGTCCAAGGGGCATACTCACTCAGACGGGGTAAGCCCTCCCCGCTCGTTAGCACATGAATGTCGCAGCAGTATGAGAACGACGAGCAACAATCATGCCATGCAGAAATTGCAAAAGACGACAAGGGAGGAGGGAGGATAGACAACACGAAGAAGCAAGAACCCCGAGCGCACGTCGGCTCGTTACTCATTTTACAATAAGCACCAGCCGAAATGGCAACAAAAGTGGCGCAAAAGCACCATTCAGGAGGATCAGAACTTTGTCATGGGTGGGAAGAATCCCCCTCAGGGCCCCCCTCAGGGAACTGCGGATAGACCCAATGGCCAGGTGCTGGAGAAATGGGTCAGCAGACCTACTAGAGGTAAGTCTGTTCGACTGCACGGTACAAACAGGATATGGGATGGCAGGGACGCATAAGAAAGCTCCGGCAACTATACAGTGGCCAGTAGGCAGAAACCACTGCTAGGAGAAGACTTGCAGAATGCTGAAGAAGTCTGCAATCAGCTGTGGGAGACCTTCACTCACCTGCCTAATGGTAAAGAATTAACTATGCTCTGGGAATTGTTGTTACTGGTGACAGCATCAGCGTTGTGGGTACCTAGTAGAGTTATGGAAGTGGAACAACCTGCAGGAGATATAACTGGCCCTTTGCATCGACCAGGCACCTCTGGTGGGAATGCCCAGCTTCCAAAAGAATTGGGAAGTGGGGGAAATACCACTGGGAGAAACTGGGTGGAAACGGAGTGGACTGGGAGGAACACTGGGTCCTACTGGGCTTTCTCCCACTGGGCTCTAGGGCAAAAGGACGCTGGGGACATGTAGCGCACGTGGTCAAAGGGATTCTGTGCGAAGTCATCTGGGGAGAGACCGAAATGTGAGCACGGATTCTGTGCGAAGTCATCTGGGCAGTGACCGAAATCCTGCAAGGTTCCTGTAATGGTGTGAAGAGGCACAGGAGCAATAATTCCAATGTTCCCAAAATGCTGTGATTGCAATGTTGACATTTGTTAAGGAACGATGGGCCCATTTCCCAGCACATGATGCTCCCCACGAATAGATGAGAGAGACCGGAGCTGACCGCTATCAGACATTGAGATTAAAAGCAGAGTGAAACAGGGCCTGCAGCAGGCAATCAAAGCAGATCGACGGAGAAAGATGAGCATGGGCCGTGGCAGCAGAAAGCAGCCCAAGTGGTTTTCGACGACGTGGGCTCGCAGAAACCAGTTGGCAGCAGTTAAGCCTGACAGAAAGCTGGGTATTGCCAAACGGATTTTGGATCGTTAGAATGAGGAACGGAAGTTAACGGGCTTACAGCAGTAGGTATAGAGATGATCTGGTAGGAATTGCCACGAAATTATGAGCCTCGCTCCACCATTCTCCACATGTCCAAAACGCGAGTGAATCTTCACCTAGAACAGGGACAGATACACCGCCATGATTTTTGTCTTTTGTGCATGTCAAGAAAACGAGAGTGAATCTTCACCTAGAAACATGGACAGAGACACCGCCATGATTTTTGCCTCTTGTGCATGTCAAAGAGTAGTGGAGCGAGGCCCTATATTAAACCACTAGCACACGGCCCCAGCCTTGCAGTCCAAAACTTGTCGCCACAAGAAAACGAGGCCGAAACGTCAAACGTCGCGCCCGCCGTTGATAAATTACGTCGGCGGTAGCGGTTTCGTTTCGCGCCTCCAGAATTTGAGGTGTCAGGCCCGCGGCCCAGGTGCCCATGTACTGGTGCTTTAAGTCCCAGGACACTCAGTCCTGTAGGACCACAGTGGGCCGCTAGGAGAGTGTCAAGATACGAGGACTCGGTCCACTGGGCTGCGTTAGTCCCAGGGCCCAGAATAGGCCTAGTAGTTTCAGTAGAAGAAGGCAAGGGATATGGACAGAATAATCTAAGCTTCTGAACAACTTACCATAGTCATCTGAGTGTAAAGCAGAGCTCTTGTATGGACGGGTCTCTTGGTTGCTTTGATATGTAGGTTCTGGTGCTCGGAGTCTGCTTAAAGCTAAGCTGGCCGATGCTGCCAGTAATCCGGATAGAATTGTGAGGGAGGAAAAAAAAAAAAAAAAAAAAAACACTCTACAAAATTGTAGAGTGAAGAGTAACGGAGCGAGACCCTGCCTCTTGGGCGACTTTGCCATCCGGGTCGTGGGGCAGACAAAAAAGATGCCTGCCCAAAAGATGCCTGCCCTGCGGGCATCTTGGGCAGGCATCTTTTCTGTCTGCCCCACAACCAACTTAGAGCCCATCCAGTTCAAGTTCCTAACCGTGGTTGAGTTGGCACATGCTTTCAGGAAAGGCTCCTGCTCTCTCTACTCACCTTACTCTTCCCTTTTCTCCTCTTTCTTCTTTTTCTTCTTCTTCTTCTACCTTGTTATTCTCTTCTACTCTTCCCTTTTCTCCTCTTTCTTCTTCTTCTTCTTCTTCTTCTTCTTCTTCTTCTACCTGGTTATTCTCTTCTACCTCTTTGTCTTCCACCTCCCGCTCTTCGTGCTCCTCCCCAACTGGGACTGCTCGTGCGCACGTCCAATCCAAGAATCGAACACGCAACCTGCGGCTTGCCCAGCGTACTCCTCGTGGTCCTAGAGAGCGGGGTTTACCAAACAACCCATCTCGGCGACTAAGTGACGGACTACACTATCCAGTAATTGGAGAAAGACACAAGGACCAACACAGACAACAAGAGGTGGAACGGAACAATCAATCTCAGTCAAGAATGACAAGGAGGAGAACGACCAAAAAAAAAACAAAAAAAACAAAAACAAAGAGAAAAAACACAATGAGGAGGACGAATGGGTATACGCCCCCCGCACCCCCCCCCCCCCCGACCCGACCCGACCCACCAAAAAAAGACAATGAGGAGGACGAATGGATCATACCAGGTCGTTTTGGCCAGCATCGACAGACCGACTGACCATCCGCATCCTCTTCTTGGTTAACATGAGCCTTTTATATCTTTCTTTTTTTCTTCTTTTTCTTAAAATACACTAGCAGAACAATTGGAGGCATTACCACATTTGACGATATATATATCGTCAAACAGAGCTGCCCGGTAAACCGTAGGCAAAGAGGGAGGGAGAAGGGGACAACAAACGAGGGCCTGTGACAAACTGTTTCGTCGGAGTTTCACCGACTCATCATATATATAACATAATTGCTCACGATTAGAATAAGTGATAACGCTTTTTCTCTCGTTTTTTCAGCTCCTTCCAGATTGATAGCGAGAAGCAGATCAACCTCCTGCTGCTTCCTTCAGCGGCACCCGCATCACCCCCGAATAGAAGGTATGCACATTGTTGTGACCTTCAGTCACCGTCCTAGATATCAAACTACCGGTAGCCGATCTCCTGGGGTAACCGTATATGTATTTCATACATATTGTCACACTGTGAATGGCAGCGCAAAGGCGGAAAAGGACAAAACAAGACAAGGATAAGAAGTAAGGAAGGAAAGCTCCGCCTGTTCATCACCTCTTACGTACAAGGCCGGCCACGTGGATGACAGGTTGAGCGCTGGCTGCCCCCATCCCCGTGTGTCAAAAGGACCCACTTGCACGCAGCCAAAAGGCAAAGAGGTAAAGAAAAGGAGGAGGAAATCAAACCTAAAAGGGAAAGGAAGCCTATCAGTCAAACAAAGCAAATGACACATCCCACAGATAATCCAATTGCCACAAAGCAAATAACACATCCCACAGATGAACATATATATATAGTCAACACTGACCCGTGGATGGACTTGTTACATTCGAGCTCGCCAGCGTCGACATCCAATACATGTAACTCGCCTTACACAATGGTTTCGACGTATGCT